TTTCTGTGGTACTTCAAAAAGTACTTCAAGGCAACTGCTGCTGTCTTAGTGTATGTGAAAGGGTGCATCACTAGGTGCAGTGATCATTAGTTGAGTTTCCCTTTGAAAAATAAAGTGRATGAGTGAAATATTCTCAGCTTAAGAATAAGATTTGTCATAGATTATCAGTTAATTCCTTAGCAAACTGGAAAATATAGCAGAGAAGCAAAATATGTAGCACTGCAAGTGTTTTTTTCATTGAGGATACTTCTAATCTTTTCACGGACATGCGTACAATGCACAGTAGAGAATAGTAGAATAATATAATGATACATTTACTGTATAAATTATAATTATTCCTCCATCCTATTATCTATAGTGCACAACGAGAACATTTCATGCTAAAAATTCGGCTTCTGCTTTCAAACATGTTAACTGTTTGAAAATTATTGCATAGAGATTGAAGGTATTAAGTCAAGTGAAATTAAATTATAACACCTAAAAAGACTTTTTGATTTGAGAATGCCTAAGTCTGCAATTGTTTGTATTGATTGCGCAGTATGCTTATTCTGAAGTGTGTTTATATTAAAGATGCATACTCTCTTAAATATAGGGACCTCTGAAACAGAGTATCTCCAGTATTATTTTTACTGACAAAGTGACTAGTTGGTAGATGGAAATCCAAAGAGATAACAATTGTTACTATGAAAGCAAATTTGCAAATGACGAGGAAATTGATTAAATGTTTAAATATGTAAATCTATATAACTTACATATACAGTTTTATCTTTCTCTAAATAATGGCATATTTGCATTTTTAAGCAAGTGTTTTAAGGTATGCAGGTTTATTTGAAAAAAAGTTATTATCTGTAATAGGTTAATAAAAGTTCATTCACATTTAGTTTTCTGAAGAGTTCACTAATTCTAGTTGGACTAAACCTTTCTTCATAAAGTAAATGCAAAGCTCTTTGCACAGTGATAAAAGTGGGTAGTTATATCAGAATGGATAGTATGCTTTGAAGGATAGTATTACTCATCAATTGAAAAAGGATTGAAATGATGATTAATAAGACTGGAAAAAGATGTCCTCTTATATGCTATAACTCACTGCACAGCTGAATATATTATTTTTGTTTTCCCTGCATAAATTTGCAATCTTATAGGAGGCTTTTCTTTTTTTGTCTGTTTCTGTGATTTCCCTGTAAAAGCTAGCATGTTACCATGATAACGTTTTTAACAATATTTCTCATTTTATTCATCTCTTCATYTGTTTTTTCTGTAGTTGTCATTATGGGATATATATTCATAATCTGTTTACCTCTAGATTTATGTGCAAGTATCTAGAGGAAACCTGTAGAGCCATCACATTTTAAGTCCATCTTCCATAAATTGCTGAGCTGGACAGACAGTGGCTATCGTGAAAGTGTTTTGAAGAGTTTGAAGAGTACTCGAGCCTCTAGCTTTTAAATTCTTAAAATCCCATTTAAACTTTTCCTTATCTTTAACAAAGAAATTTATGGAGAAGCTGTGCAGGAATAGCAGGAAAGAATACATAGCAGTACATGATGTTTCATTTCTTCATAGCTGGGGAGATTAATGAACTGCCTGTAGGTTGGCCACTGCTATCTCTAGTGATACAGAAATAAATACATGTAACTATAATGCATTCACTCTTGCCTTGATGAAATGCACTCCTCTTTCAATTAGATTCCTTTGGATTGTTTTGCTTTTTAARTCTTTTCTGTATTAGCGTGCCAGCAATTTTAAAATGTTCAAGAGGAATTCATTCTAGCCCTTTAATAAAAACTTAATTAATTTCAAGACTTGAATATTCAAAATTATCATCTAACATAACAAACTTAAATAATACTTTGGCATTTAAATGTATGATCTGATTTTTGAAAGTACCTCTTCAAATGAACTAGCTTCTAAAATGAATACCACTGAAAATGACATGAGATGGTGTGGAAATTTAATGACTGGGAGGGGAAACATGTTACCCTAAATGCAGAAAAATAAGTCAAAAATCAAAACTAGAGGAGATCAGGTTCAAGAAAGTACTTCAGAAAATACGTTATAATGAGACATATTTCTACCATTTCCACAACCTTCTTGTATACCACAATATTTTCAAATATTTCATCTTGTTTTCTGAATTTTATCATAATTTTATTTGTATAGAGGAAATTTGTTACCTTTAACATTCTTTAGTACGTGATCAAGCTTTATAAACAGAAAGAAAACTTCTAGGATCATATTCCAATGAGAAATATTCTTCTCATATATTCTTGGTAAACTATTAGTTTTAATTTTGTTGTGAAGATATTTGGTGGAACCTCTATCACACTACAATTTTAAAACCATTTAAAATGTAATTTTTAGTGTGTAATTGGAAAGAGATTATTAGTAAACATAAAAACATTATAAAAACTCTTCAAATATGTTAACATCATATTTTTTTATTTATTTTAATTCAGTTCAAAACAAAGTTCCTAGTGGCCTCGGTTTTAAAATATGGTGTGCTGATAGGTGTACTGTGGATGTTGCAGCAGGACAGAAAAATGCACCAGTATTTTCATTTTCAAGATTATTTTTCTTCCCAAGAAATGTGTTTGGACTTTTCACATCAAACAAGCCTTTGCTTTAACTAATCTTGAACAGATCCACAACAGCTGGGAATGCAATTATCCCATTTATTTCGACTTTAAAAAAGCAAGGAAACAAACAAACAAAACCACATCATTTCTTTCAGTTTCTTTCCATCACTTTCAGCATGCTTACAGACCAGATCTGTGTGTCTTCCTTTCTCTGTATATAAAATAAGAAGAAAAAAAGAAAAATTTTGTATGAGAAAATCAGTGTTTTGTTAAATTGTTAGTAGTAGAATGTTAGAAATTTTTGTAATGATAGAATGTATTGTCTGTTTGTTCGTATCTTGCATTCAGTTCAAACAGGAAGTTTTTTGTTATTATCTTCAAGAGCTAAATAATTCTTCTAGTAAAAGGGAAGTAAGGAAAAAGCAAAAAAAGCAAAAGGAAATAATGCACAGCAGTTATCTCCTGCTTGATAGCCAAATGCTTATTTCTGTGCATCTTAGAGGTAAGAAAAGGGAGACATAAAGTAACTAGGTATATAAAAACAGCTATAGCAGTTTAGACTATATTGTCTTTAGCAATCATCTGTAAAGGATGCCCAGGGAAGTGGAAAAGAGTATTGTAATATTTTTCTGGAAAAGAGACCAAGAAATCAAATAATGGCAAATATGTGCAAACAGATTAGATGAACAGTATGATAAGCAAAATGACTTTTTCCTTTATTTTGCTACTTAATATTGGGAGGCATCACTGCATTATGGTGGTCAATGAGGAGAGCAAAGTAGATTCAAGAGCCTTTTGCAGCTTTTTTTATTACATTCCTCACAATTTTGCTAACTATTTGGACATTAAATCGGCCATAATTAATTTATTCCAGGGATGCAAATGTATTTTGTACCGGAGTCGTCATTATCACATAGCTTATCAAATGTCAAACTTTACTTGGTTGCAAATGAACAAAAGATACCAGAATACACTGTTTAAAGCAATTTAATTAGTAGACCATGGATTAAGTAACCAAATAAAACTCATACATGTAGCATATAGAAAAATAGCTTGTAAAGTTACTGATGAATGTAAAGGAGAAAACATTCCTCAAATTTCCAACCACTCAGAATTTCTACTACTAAAAAAAATAGTTTGACGCTGCAAAATGAAAATGCACAGCTATTTGTTTAAGAGCTAGCAGCTGTTAGTCTGCCTATGGGAAGAAAAAAAAATACAGCACCATGTTATATATTCCTTGCTGCAGTATTCAGTCAAGAAGGTGTTTTAAAAGAAGGGATCAATGTGATAAAATCACCGCAGCAAATAATCTACCTTCAGTCTCAGCCTCAAGTTTTATGAGAAGTTAGAGGAAAGCCCTGGGCTGCCTTTGCAAGCCAAGTGCAGCTTTCTTTATTATTAGCTGCTGTGATATTAAAATAAGCTCAGTGCTTGCACTTAGCCCAGTTTATTGTTTWATAATAGCTACGGTATTTGCTACTGGCTCGTGCTGAGCCGTTAGGGTTGGGGTAGTGGCACGTGCTGATTCAGCCGTTAGGGCTGGGTTGGGGGGGGCGGGAATAGGCGCGCGTGCTCATTGAGCCGTTAGGGCTGGGGCGCGCGCGTGCTCATTGAGCCGTTAGGGCTGGGGCGCGGCGCGTGCTGAGCCGTTAGGGCTGGGGCGCGCGCCTGCTTATTGAGCCGTTAGGGCTGGGGCAGAGGCGCGTGCTGAGCTGTTAGAGTCGTCGCGGGAGGAGCGCAGGCGGCAGCTGCAGGAGGTGACGGAGCCGGGCTCGGCAGCTCGGTGGAGATTGCTAGGGGCGGACGTTGGTCAGAGACGCCTAGGCAGAGGGAGCGTTTTTCTCCAGTTTGCCTGGACATTATCTGCCAATTCTCAGCATCCTCGTAAAGCCTGCTGTGCTTCTGAAAAAGTCAGGCTGCACTTGGTAATGCACCTTTTGGATTATTTTTCTCTAGGTTTGGAGAAAGCCTTTATTTTTAGCTTTCCTCCTCTGCAGGGAGATCTCTCTGCTTGCTCTGTAGCTGGCTACACCCCAAGACCCGAAATTATGTTTAGAAGTCAAAATGTTGCTTGTAGCCAGTGTAGGGAAAGCAGTTTGGAGGCTGGAAGGTGAKGTATGGGAAGTTGCAGTGTGTTATGCGATACAGTTATAGCACTTGTGCRTAGTGCAGTAATACTGGGGACACACTTTGGGATGACTATTCCGATAGCTCCCAGCTCTTCAGAGCTCTCTATGCGAATCAAGACCGTGCTGTTTAGGCTTGGGATATAGGCTATTGCTGTTACACATTGTATAGAGTGTCCTAAATCCGTGTATGTGTGTGTATATATATAAAATATATATATATAATATATATTACATATGTGTATATATATATTATATCCCCCCCTTTTTTCTCTAGGATCATTTCTGAAGGGAGATCCTAGCCAGCAGTAGTACTGCAGACTTCCCAGTACTGAAGGTGAATTGTTAAGTTTTGGAGCATCTGGAATCTGAAGGGATGGCCTTGAAGGTCACATTTCAGCATGGTCAGGTGTCTAATCCCAGCACAGAAGACTAAAGGTGAGTTTTGATATGTGGAAGGTTTTTATTTTATTTTATTTTATTTTATTTTATTTTTGAACTATCAATCTCAGGTAGATTCTTTGTAGTAGTTTTTTTTTTTTTTGTTCTAAGGCATGAAAGTAGAAGATACTTAGATTTCTGCTAGATTACTTTGTATTTCCATTAAAACAATTTGCATTTGGATATATACATTTCAACTATTATCTCCTGCTTAAGAAACAACTAATAACTAGGCTATAGTTCTTTTATGATGTACAGAGGAAAAGAGGGCAACTCAAGTTTGCCTATGTGATACTGAGAATTTGTAAGAGTATGTGTATTAGGGGACTGTCATATTAAGAGCCTGATTTTTTTTTTCTTTAAATATAATTTGAGTTTTTGATTTCAAAAAAATGCCTTCAATCAGGGAAATTTGAGTATTTTTGTACTGATTTTTTTTGCTAGTGATTTGTACTTTTTTTTTTTTTTTTTTTTGCTAATGAATATTGCAGTCAAAATTAAATCTGTTGTTTCTCTGAGTTTATCAAGTGCACCTCTTGGGAAACATGGTCTAAATCATGTCAGTTTTTAACATAGGAGGCAATTACTACTTGAAATTACAATTCTATTTCAATATTCTATTAAAATCTTTGCAGAGGGAGGGTGGAGAGAGGGAGTGAAGTAAAACTAATTTACCTTCTGTCAGAGCTTTGTTAAACACTCTGCTGATGTCAAAGGCCCGGTGTTGTCACTGTGCCACAGAGGTAGCTCTATCTTGGGATGGCACCTGTAGTAATGCTGTTTGCTTCTTTGGAAAGCTGATACCATAGAAAATTGCTAAGGGTGGACTGTCAGTGAGGTGAAGGCTAACAGAGTGTGTGCTGTTTTATTTATTTATTTATTTATTTATTTTTAAAGGATATGATGTTTTTGTTGTGTGCAAGATAGCAAGAGTTGCAATTTTAGGTCTTGGATAATTACATTTGTTTCATAAAAAAAGTTATTGGTATTCATATAAAAAAAGTTTAGTTTTGTATGCAGAAACATCATCTAAAAGAGTTTCTAATATTAATAGCTTAATATCACCTGGAGCATGCCAGGAGGATTAGGACTACTCTTTAAAAATYCTTTCAAAATTAATTACATGTAATAAAATTTAATTACTGTAACAAACTACTATGTGTAGTTCAAACATGTTGAATATTAGCTTTGTAAATCTGAGTTGCATTTCTATCATTGTATAAAATCACAACAGCAAGGATTCTTTTGATAACAGCATATACAACAAATTTTCCCTTCCTAGTAGCACTTCTGAATGAAATAATTTTTAGAACATATAAACGGGTTGAGAAATATTTGGAAATATCTTACCTATTTTTATGACAGGTTTTTTTTCTTCTTCCTTGCTTCAGCAATATTAAGTTCAAAAGAATCTTAAATTAAAATGATAACTATTCGTGTAGAACACTCTTCTACTTCAAAGAAGTTTTTTTTTTTATTTGTATGTCATCTATTTGTATGTCATCTACAGTGATACCTACACTAGATAATTACTGATACTCAATGCTAAATGGACAAGAGGCATAACAGGAGAAAGTGAGAGGGACAGATAGTGGCTAGTAGCAGAATCAGAGATGATTCTCTCTGTGAATGTTCAGCTGCATCACTTCCACATCTATGTAATTATCCTGAGATATCAGCTGGTTTTTGGAGCTGTTTATTTTAGAGCAGTTTATTTTTGTAGATGGCAGAAAATTCTTTGTTGTGACCAAAACTAATCCTATGAACACCTAGCTTTCCCTCAGCAACACATTCTGTGTGACTTTGTTTTTGAGAAATTCTAAATGACACTTGATGAGGGGAAAAATACAAAACAAACAAAAACTTGGAATATTTAAAAGAATAAGAAGGGCTGATAATTTAGTTATTAACAGCATAAAAATATATTTTTTTATTATCTTTAAGTTTATTTCAGTTGCTTTCTACAGGCATACAAGCTTCAGCCATGCGGTATCTAAATAGCCGAACACCTTTTTCTACCTAACATGTAGAGAAGGTATCACTGCCTCAGATAGTAACATCACTATCTCAGAAGCACGTGTTAAATTAATTTCTGCTTTCTGCCTTTTCTTCATAAAGATATGGCTCTACAGCATTAGTGGTTATTGATGTGGTTAGAATGACAGTTATTCTGTTGCTCCATTTTGTGTGACCATGGAAACTTTAGCTGCTGTTCTTACTGCTATTTCACGCTGAAGTCACTTTTGCCATTTGCAAAATGATGGTGAAGTTGGTTGATTCGATTGTGAGTTTAGAGCAGATTGTATTGGATCCATAGTCAATCGGATTATTCATTTCCTGTTTTTTCGTTTGTTTGACATAAATGTTCTTTGTAAAAGTGTTTCTAATTACTGTTTTGGGTTCCTTAGTGCCATAAACAAATGCTACTCAAAGGTCTAAAAATGTGTTTATTTCCCTAGCCTGAGGAATGCAAGTATTGCTTTTACGTTTTTGTACTTCAGCTAAGCTGTGCATGTTTGTGTCCCTCTTTACCTCAAATTGTGTAACTGTGGCCCATTATTAGTGATCTTTGTCTTGCTGTCTTGACTCTTAACATTGCCTCTGGCAAAAGAATAAGTCCATCTTTCTTCATTTCTCTATTTCTTCTAAAAATAGGTGTATAGTTTATTTCCAATAAAACAACATCAGTAATGCAATTGCCTGCTTTGAATTGTATGTAACTTTCATTTCTAAGAGCCAGGCAGTCCACCTGAATTTTCTTTTCTTTCTGAAACACTGAATGAATTCTAGTTCTTGCTCTTAGAGAAGAATTTCCAAAATCCAATGAACAAACAAACAAAACTACCCTAAGCAATTCTTTAAGTTGATATTTATTAAATCACAGTTGTTGCATTTCACCTAACAAGACTTATGTTTAAAACAGAAGGTATAAATTTAATACTTTTCCAATTCTTCTTACGCATCTGTTTTCTACAGTTTTAAAGCTCTGTTACTAATTTGTAGTGTAGTATTGAAAGTAAGGCATCTTTCCTTTATACTTTAATTTAAAAAGAAAAAAAAATTAAAGCTAGAGTTATATCAATACACAAAGATATTTTACAGTGAATAGCCTATGTTTTACCAAGCTTAGATCTTTCTTTTGTTTTCTGGAGACTGATACAATGATTTATTAAGATTACTGACAGACAACTGTTGAAAAATCATTGCATTAATATGTATCTACTAAAATGTATCTACTATGGGGACTTTTGCACTTTATCATGTGAATGCAGTGCTGGATGTTAGTGATCTGTTGTCCGGTTCATCAGTCATTTGGAAGTAGTATACAGGGGGAGTATAAGCAGTAGCACTCAAGGGAAAGTTAGTGGTACTATTGCCAAGAACATTGTAGCAGCCCTGAAGATAAGTCACTGCAGCTATAAAAGAAAAGATAGGTGTTTTACTTCATATATGCCTCTGTCGCATTTTGCTCATACTGCATTTTGGCCATGCTAGTGCTTATTTATTAAGGGAGAAAGAGTGCTAAGAGTTTGAAAGAAAATTGGAGATCAATTTTGTATATTGATATTTTTTATATTGAGCTTTAGTTAGGAGCAAGAGGCGAAACTGTCTCAGTCATGGAAACAGTGGTGAACTCTGTATACTACATGAAGTTATTGTACTGAATTGTTATTATTTGGATTTCTGGCGTGTGCTCTGTGGCTTGTGTCTCCATTCCCTTCATGTCACTCGGAGGACTCTTTCCTATATATGTAATGTAAAGAAGGCCTCCAGTTAGGAGGGGAAAAAAGAAAACAAATGTTGCAGACGTTTTTTCTCCATCGTCCATTCCAGAGGAGTACCTCAGAGGGAGAAAAAAAGCCATCTAAACTTATTGATGTGGAACTTTGGTGTACAGACATATATTTAATATGTTATTGCATTCCGAATGCTCTCTCTTCTGAAATAGCACCTTATGCTTTGGATTTCAGACTAAAGATGATTCAGTCTAGAAAGGTATGTTGCCCTATATAAGCATATGCTTGTGTGCTTGTATATGTCTATGTTATCATATATATATCTGTTGCCATATTATATATATTTATATATAAAATGTGTGTGTGTAAACATATGTTTATGTAGTCTCTCAAAATACAAGATGTAAGTTTAATGTGCTGTTTTAGACTGATAGATGAGGAGAACATTATATATGTGGTAACATCTGCTTTAATGAGCCACTTGAGAAATAGAAATACGCAGAAGGGAAGAAACATCTGCCCACTGGAAATCATCAGAGCAACCGCTGTGTCCCAGAGTGCCTCAGAATGCAGGATTGTCACACACTCATGCAGATCCCAAGTGACAAATGCATGTGCGTGTTTTGTTTGGTTTTTTTTTTTTTTTTTGTTTGGTTTTTTTTTTTTTTTGGGGGGGGGGGGGGGGGCAGACTTTAAGAAACACTTCAGGTGATCCTGTTTTTGTTTTTTTTTTTTTTAAACATGCTATTTTACTAAGTATTCATGAGAGAGGTATAAAAGGAAACGATGTGAGATTATTAACATCAATGAAGTCTACATGTTGCATTAAATTTTTCAAAGTGAACATACATATCCATACTCTTCAAAAAAAAGACCCTTTTCCAGTGAAAAGTGTACTTCTAGAAAACATTCAGGGTGCCAGTGGATGGAACAAGGGGTCAAGCCCATTTCTGTAGTGGGAGGGAAGGGGATTAAGGATGGATTAAGGACATTTTCCTGTTACTGGTTTTGGCAGTTCTTCTGTGATGAACCTTTTCCATCAAAAATCATTCTGGTAAAAGAAATCTTTCCCAGAGAAGATCTGTCCAGAATGTTAAAGCTAAAGCTTAAAGTCATAGGATAGTATAGTTATGCTATGCAAGCCCTTCACTCATTTCTGATATTTGAGATGTGCAAAGGAGTCTGTAAAAAGCATGTGCTACTTGTCAGGCTTATCAGTGATGTGTGTTACTATCTAAAAGGTCTGTGGTTAATTATCTG